TGTATTGTTTAGTATCAATTATTTTTACATGTAAATGTTTTTATTTGATTTACATTTTGTCTGTTTTGTGGAAATATGTAATTAAAAACGGTATCAAATTGAATAATTATTTTCAGTTGACATAGCTCTAGATTTGATTCACTCCTATGTAAACATTACAATTCCAAATTTCAAAACCCGAACACGCTGTTATGATAACACCACAATGTTACTACAGAAATCCTTGTGAACCTAATGTCTGATTGTGATGAAACCCAGCTGTGTTTGACAGGGTATTGTAATCCCTTACCTAAGCCTTTTTGTACTTTACTGTCAGTATACATGCATAAATATATTTTAAAAAGTATATTTGAAGATGGTAAAGCAGACAACTTATTTATTTCTTGTGTAACTTGTTGTCCCATGACTATCCATGTTTTGTTGTAACAACACTGGAAAAAGTCCCAGTCTGTGGACCACTGTGTATTTGCACAAAGCAGCTGTTATATCTTCTTTTTATGGATCTTTACCTTGTATAACTGTAATTTTGAGGTGCTTGAAGGATCTTTTCCCTCCATGCTACAAATACTCAACAACTGTTGGATTAAAAGTGGTCCAGTGAGCATGCTCTGTCCAGTCCAGTTTTACAGTTTTTGTTTTCTTCTTCACACTTCTTTGGACATTGACTCATTTTCTGGTGTTTTGATTTAGAATTAAGTATGTTAAATTGCTAACTGTAAAGAAAAGCTGCTTTTTTAAATCCTCTAATGATATATTTTCATTTTGTATTTAAGTATATATATATGAATGTATTATGAATTCAGATTATTTTCTTGACAGATGCTTTTAATGTATTGGAGAAGGAAGTCAGGTTAACTATATTGCTGTATTAAACAATCAAAACAAAAACCCACCAGACTTTTATTTTTAGCATACACGGGAGCATTTATTTTCCTTTATCCCCCTGGGTTTTTGTCTGGGAACAAATGTAGGTTAGTCCCCCCCCCACCTACACAAAAGAAAAGCGCTGGTGTTTGTGTGAGTGAGAGAGGGGGGGCTGTTGTTGTGGTGGCAGCACCACATGGCTCGACAAAAACACAGCACGGTGTTGTCTGACAACTGCACGCTGGCATAACAGGAACTCGTGAACCCGACGACCTCGCAGGTGGCTTTACCCAGAGACAATCAGAAATTCACACCCACCGAATCCCTCCTTCAGGGGAACTGATTTATGTTTTTAAATGATGCCTAATGATTAGCAGAAATCTAAAGAGAAAACCCTTAATTCCGTTTCTGGTACATAAACATCGATGTTTGTGTTTTCAGTTCAGTTATTACCCAACTATTTCACAAATGACAGCATGTTTCCACTTTCAAAACCTTTCTCCAGACTCATTTCTCACCATCCTCAGCGGTGGTTGTGCATTAGAATCTTTCTAATGCGACATATTGGGTTCAGATAATTTCAAAAAGTAAAC